ATTATTATTATTATTATTATTATTATTATTATTATTATTATTATTATTATTATTATTATTATTATTATTATTATTATTATTATTATTATTATTATTATTATTATTATTATTATTATTATTATTATTATTATTATTATTATTATTATTATTATTATTATTATTATTATTATTATTATTATTATTATTATTATTATTTCCAAGAATCTTTCTTTGATTTATTCAAATAAAAAAATCTATCGTTATATATATATATATATGTCCAACCATATAAATTTACCAAAAATAATCCGCCAAAATATCAGAAAAGGTCATGAGAAGATCTGTTCAAAGATCGTCCCATGTGCTCAATTATATCCAATCGCAGAATTCCTTGAATGCATGCATGTATATGTCGGGCTTGCACATACATTCGTATATGACCTTGTCTCTTAAAGTATTTAATATGGATATAGACATAAATCTTTTAAATGAAAATATGTAATCATAATTAGGTATGACCTTAATTTATTATGCAAAAGTTTGGACTTTATATATGTCCATAGTGCAATCCATGTGGCTAACCAAATGTTTTCCTTGATTTTGTTATGTTTTAGTGCACACCATGTGCCAGTACTTAGTGATCGATGTATATCATACATACATACATACATACATACATACATACATACATATGTACGTACGTACATACATATACATACATTTTTCTCTATTTATATGTATGTATGGACGATATATATATATATATATATATATATAGTTGTGTAGACCGCAGGAAAATAACTTCCGAGAAGACGAAAGGAACATGAATGTAAGAAAACTTTGAGGTATGGATCAACAATACTTTATTTTTCTAAAAAAAACTTTAAAACTCTTACGTACTCTTATTCATTGATTTTATGGAATTATTTTTTTACTCGATTTGGATATTTTATGTTTGATTTAAATAGATATAAATGTACATAAAATAAATGCTTTGCTTTTGATTTAATTATATTATAGTAATTTACAAAAAAAAAAGGGTTGCAATACAATCTATTCGTGCATGTACATCAACCGAAGAACCAAACATGAATGTAAACCTTAAATGTTATGTTAAATTTTGCTTTGGCCAATGATAATGAAATACAAAAATAAGAATTGATGCAACAAATGCAAATTCTTATTTGTGCAGTGTTTGCAAAATATTTATGAGGCCTAGTTGGTGTAATTTTCATGTCTTATAATTTTACACATTTCTATTGGATTTTCATTATTAGTGCTTTCATAATTGTATTTGACGTGGAATATAGTCTTGCGATAAGTGATTTATTGAAACGTTAGTAAAAGCAACAACAGTCAACTCTATACATTTTTTTTTCAATGATGATCCGTAACTGTAAAGACGGTCCAAATATTCACATGATTTCGTGTATGATTCGGTTAGTTGGTTGATATAAACATCATCTTTTTGTTTTTAAATCCAACAAACGTGGAATTAATTTAAGGTCCAATAAAGGTTTTGAAACAAGAAAAGCCTAATGATATAGGTATACGAGTAATTAAAGCAAGCACTAAGTGGTATATATATATATATATGAAATACAAAAACATACAAAAAAATGTTGTAAAGAAGACCAAGTCCATGTCATAAACCATTATAATTGGGAGATGCTTACAAGTCACCTTTTTTATTTTATTTTTATAAAACATAGTACAATTTAAATTTGTCTCTAAATGATGAAGCCACATGTCGGATTGTCATATTCGGACCAATGAGATTCTCGGAATTAAAATCATTTGGCCAATGAGATTTCAATTCACTCCCAACAAGTGGGTTCCTTATCTTTCTAATGCCAATATAATTATTTATTTATGGTCCCCCGTATCACTAAACCCTAAAATAATATACAAAGACATACCATAAAAATGCTACATGGAAATTAGAAAAAATATATCATAGATTTTTAAGTGTTTGTAGACATACCCACCACATTTGTTGTGAACTTATATGAACTTGGAAAACTAACATGCATGTGATAGACGTGGCCTTGCTATAACCTATTAACAGTATGCATTAATTAATTAATATGAATCATTCATTTTATACTATGATGATCCATGGGAATATGATCTAGAAAAAATATTATCCAATACAGATTACATTAGCCATGTTTCATTGGGTCACAATTATTAGTTTTATATGAATTAATTTAAATAATTAAGATTAGCCTTAGGCCCTTAGCTACGCGATCCTAGTGCTAATAACATGTTAAATTAATGAAAACTTTCGGCACGTACATATTTTACCGAACACAATGATTTGTTATGTATAACTGTGCTACAAATCATTGTAGTTTGTAAAGAAAATACGAAAGAAAGAAAAAAACAAACAGCGATCACCAGAATATATAACCGTACTGACATTATGGATCGAAATCATGATTCATGAATATGAATATCCAAATTTGATATATATATATATATCGACTGATATTACGTTATACCACTTTAGGGACGAACAATGATACAACTAAGGAATATACACGCACCGACCGAATCCAACTCATTGCTTTCAGTTTCCCGGCGAATTGGTCCGATCATTCTTTGGCGTTACTAAAGCAAAAAAGTTAAATGAATCCAGGAAAAATTATAAATGGGTAATAGTAAATATACCGTGATTTCGTAAATTTATTAGGGAGGTATTTAACAAGTTTTGTTTAAAATTTATAAAAAAAATTAATTTTTTAATCAAAGGAATGGGGACATAGGACTGAGTACTGGGTCTGCCTCTCCAGACAACTTAAGGTATAAATCAAGTTGCATCATATATATATATATATATATATATATATATATATATATATATATATATATATATGTATGAATGATTCTATA